GGGTACAGGCCAGAGATGCGGAGGGTGAGAGGATTCACTAGAGACAGAGCGGGGAGCAGAACAGGCAGATCAACGAAGTACACTGCTGAGGGGAGCAGCGGGCAGGTCAGGAGAGGTCTGCCACACCATGTGGTCACCTCCAGAGCATGCGGGGATGGAACTCATGTGGAATTGGCTTATGCTTCTTAGTGCTGTGCCTTAACCCGCTGTGCCACCAGGGAGGGCCCGACTTCATCCTTACTCTTAAGAGTAAAGATGAGATTCACAGAGAGGACATGTTTCCTGAGAAACTTTCAACTGGTTAAGACACCACACTCCCACTATATTCTTCTAAGTCATGAATACCCTTGTATGCTCTTGTTTATTCAGATATTCTTTAATAATTTCTTACATTAGCATTTTGTAGTTTTCTGCATACTGACCCTAAAACATTGTTTAAATTTACTGCTAAATGTATTACGTATTCTTTCAGAGTCATGTTTTAAAAAATGGTCAGTAAGAATGCAAAAGACCTGAGTAAAACTATTACTGATAAACTGCCACTCCCAAACAGCAGAACACACATTATTTTATTGCATTTCAGTTTTGATAGTTTCTGTTGACAAGTGTTTTTGAGTTCACTGAGGCTTCTTCCTGAGGTTTCTGCGTGATAGGCACTGTGTCAAGTTCTCAGTGTACTTGTTGCCAGATACAGGAGTTAGAAGAGAGAAGTTGTTCAGAACCTATTTGTGGTTGGTATTGCTTTCCAACAGGCAGAAGGAAATAGGAACTTTTGGCTCAGTGAGATTGTACTCAGACTTCCTGAAAATGTGTGGGAGAGTGAAACATAAATGTCGCCCTCTCAGTTAGTTTTGATAGGATGGAGAAGCTGCCACTGTTTCCAACATGTTTGAGTGTTATATACTTATTGATAATTACCTAAAACAAATACTTTTGGAAACAAAGCAGGGTTAATTTGTGGCTTCTGTATTTAATTCATGGTGGCAAAAACGAGGATGAAACTAATCATAACTTAACATGTATTAGTTGCTTGCTGTGAACCACACTGACTTTCTAATAATTTGATGGATTAACTCATGTATTCCTCATCACAGCCCCACTTTTATCTAGAGTTTACAAATGAAGAACAGAGGCATCAAGAGGTTAATTGTAAGCATTTGCTTTGCCCAGAAATGACAGAATGAGCTTTGAGACTTGGCAGCCTGAATGTAGCCTGGGCTCTCAGCCAAGATGCTCTGCTGTCATTAGACCAGCAAAGTGGGCTTTAGGAGCTAATGAGGCTGGTGCAAAACCTGTTAAAAGGTGTCCTGCAGCGGGAGACATATAAACCAGGTAGAAAAAGCTAAGAGGTTCTAGGATGCAGGTGAGTAAACTACTGCCCTTTCCTCCCTGGCTAAGAATGGGTTTTATATTCAAAGGATTGTAAAAAGAAAAAAGAGGGAGGAAAAAATGATATTTGACTGGGACTAAATGGGACCTGCAAAATCCAAAGTATTTACCATCTGGTCCATTACATGAAAAACTTTGCTAACCTCTGATCTGGGTGAAGAGAGGACAGAAGAAATGGCACATGTAAACTCCTGGAGGCTTTTCATGGGTCAAGAGATTTATGTAACCAGAGAATGCAGCAGAGAAACGATTTAAAGAAAAAATTAGTAAATAACCATGGGTGATTTTCCTGTGTTGCCGAGTCTAGGCCTTATCCTAAAGGTTTTCACTAAGAAAGGAGCATGCACAGTCAGACTTTAACTCTGTCCATCATGTGAAATAACAAGAATTCTGTATAGATGGGTGACTGCTCTTTAAATGCCTGTTTAACATGAGTTGTTTTATATTCTGAATTCTCAAAGTCCCTTAGTCGATTAGTGACTTGTTGCTTGATGAAGTTGATCAGGCATCTAAACTAGAAACCTGTTTTCCTGTTGAATGTCTCCCTACAAAGATCCACAAATCACACTGCTGTTCTTTCCTCTTAGAGACAGCTTTGGACACCAGGGGGACACAGGGGAACTATCAGTGGTGAGGGCTGAGTCCAAGAGGCAGCTCTGCTCCTGGTTTGTGTTTTTGCACTTTGTCCCTCTCCGCCCAGAGAAGCTGGACTGCCTGGTGTTTAATTGTGTGGGCTCAGCTTGCAAATTGTTTCTATTCATACAAACAGTCTGTGGTTTGCAGCTATCTCTGTAAATAAATAGGGGAGGGGTGTTTCATAAAACCTCTTTCTCCACAGATTCTGGGTGGGGCCCAGGCATTGGGTTTTCTTTTGTTTGTTTTGAAGTTTCTAATGATACCTGTGAGCCAGCTGATTGAGCTCTCTCCTGGTGATTAAGTAAGAACACAGGCTCTGGGCAACCATCTTGGCTAAGTTTGCTGACTGTGTGGGTCATTGTTGGTAAATAACTTGAAATTGCCTTCTCAACTAAAAGTTCTCCAGCCTTTTAGATTGCCGGTAATTCTTCTGGAGCGTGTGATTTGGCTCTTGGCTTCTCATCACCCGAACTGCTGCTTCATTTGCTCCAGGAACTCTCTGACCCTCATGCTGTTTCAGTCCTCTTAGCGTCAGTGGCTGGCCTTAGCCCAGGCCCATTTCCACATGGGGTGCACCCATTCTACTCCTTAGCTGGTCTGGATTTGGGGCCCCCTCATGATCTCCCAAAGGACCTGTTTCAGCTATGTTGGCATCTACCTGTGTCTAGCTACTTTCTCACCTAGTCTCCCACACTAGGCTGTGAGCAACCAGAGATCTGGAAAATACCGGTTTAGAAAGGATTTTTGTGGACGATTTGTCTTTTCTTGTTGTACAGAAGACTTCATTTACAGCTAGATAAAATCTTTCTGTAGAAAAAGAAATTGTTAAAAGGTCCAGTTCTCAGACCATTAAAGTGAGTGGTGTTATAACTAGAGTCTCTTTTAACAAGTGATTGATGGATTTTATAAATTATCTTTTCATACATGCAAAAAAAAAAAATACCCAAGAAATTAAATTACTAGTTTCCAGATTTTCCCAGATGGCCTTCCTCCGGAGATGTGCGAATGATAGCAGCATCTCAGGCTTCTTTGGTCTTTTATTGTATTGGTGTGGAAGAGTCACGCACCAGTTGAGCTTCTTCTGGCGTCAGGAAGAATACTTACCAGGCATTAAAATTTCTGGAAGAGTGGTTTCAAGGTCTAAGCAGACATTATAACTGGAGTAACTACTCACTTCTCATCTTAACAACAGTCTTACAACATGGGTAGTTTTGTGATCCTGATGTGAATTACAGAAATGAAACAGAGAAAGGCCAGTGGCGGTAGCCATGGTCAGCTGTCGTATGAATGTGCAGCAAGCACAGTGCCAGGTTTGGGAAACAAATGTCCCCAGAGTCCGCTTTAGCCAGTACACCCCACTGCATCTCCTTGGCCACATTTCCCAGGATGAAAGCGAGAACTTGGGAGCGTGGGGTGTGTGGGGCCTGCTGTGCGGCTGCCCTCCCACGAGGGCATCCTGCCAGGGGGCCCAGCAGAGCCTGGGTCAGCCAGGCTCCTTGCCCAGGTGTGTGGCTCATTACTTTGTCTGCCTTCTCAGGTTTCTGCCGTCCCAAAGAGCAGAAGGAGAAAATGATGCAGTTCCAGGTAAGATGGATTTTTATTTCTTATACTTAACACATGACTTTATCTCCAGGAAGTGTATATAGACCTTTCTTTCCTTCTCCTTGCCAAGAGGAAAGGCATGCACAAAGGCTGGTTTTTGCCTTTTGTTATTGTATGAGTATAATAAATGTTATGATATATACTAGCCTTATTTTTATAAAAGATCATGTCCTCAAGACAAACTCTCCAAATCAGCAGTATCATCTTTCATTACATCTTGTGCCAGGATTTTTAAAAACATCCTTTCAGTTTTGGTTTTATTATTACTTTATTTCACATAGAACAGTGTAAAAGAATAAAAATCAAAAAGAAAAAATCCCATGTTATTATTCAGTAGATCTGCCTGTCCTGTTCTCCACTCTGTCTCTGTGAATCCTTTTACCACCCGCACCTCTGGCCTATACCCCAGTTCTTATGTGAATAAATAAATCTTTTTTTTTCAAAAAAGACAATACAGGTATCCAAATTAAAAATTTTAATCATACTGTAGGATATGCAGGCACTTTTCCATCTGTCCACTTTGTTTATCCCACTGCTTAACACGAAGAGAAGAGCATCATACAAGTTCAAACAATCGAGAGCCTTATGTACGTCTAGCTTAGTGTTCAGGTGCCTACTTTAGACAGGTCCAGCCAGCTCCAAAGCCTTGTCTTCAGAATCAGTTGTAGCAGGCAAACCATTTGGGTGGAAGGAGAGGCAAGAAAAAAACTACCCCCAAAAAAACCAGGAGTCTCATTCAGGGAGTAAGACCTGAGGCTCAGAGGTCTGGCCAGAACAAATACAGTGTTAAATAGTTCTTCACATAAAAAGTTAAATTTCCCTCTAGCAAAAAGTAGACAAGTAGAATGAAAAGACTCACAGCATACCTGGAGGAAAAGGTCTTAATGTCCACCAGGTGAAGATTGTCTCGAAGTGAGAAGCAGAGACAACCAGCAATGAAAAGAATGATCTTCATTATGCTAATGAAATTTGTGAAAAGTTTTCTAAAGAACTGCTTTTTAAAAAAAAAAAAGATTTATTTATTTATTCGTACAGAACTGGGGTACAGGCCAGAGATGCGGAGGGTGAGAGGATTCACCAGAGACAGAGCGGGAGGAAGAACAGGCAGATCGACAAAGTACACTGCTGAGGGGAGCAGTGGGCAGGTCGGGGCGGTCTGCCATACCATGCGGGTCACTTCTGGGGCTGGGGATCAAACTCACACTGAAGTGACTGCGGCTCAGCCTCCCTTGCGGTGCTGAGTCCTAATCCGCTGCGCCACCAGGGAGGGCCAGAACTGCTTTTTTACTTTCCAAATTCTGAGATTATTGGGGCTGTATTTTAATGTTCATGTATAACATTAACTGCTATAGGTTTAGGGGTGTATACTTTCTTGGGAAGAATACTTTGGTAAAACAACTGTTAGGAAACAGCTGTCACTAGGATTTCACAGCGTTGAAGGTTATTCTTAACATTTGTACTTTTTGGGATTTTAAGGAGCTAATCAACAAAACTCCAACGACTAAAGTTTATGTGAAAGGATTTTTGTAATAATCTAAAATTAAAAAATAGTAATATAATATAAAATTAAGTATGCATTATTTGAATCAGTTCATCACATTCTTTGTCATCAGTTCCTTACACATCCCTTAGATAGGATGAAGTAATAGCTAACATTTATTGGGGACTTACTCTATGCCAGGCACTGTTTTTAAATGTGCTACCTGTAGTCACTCATTTTGTTACCAGCACCCTATGGTACAGGTATCAGCATACAAATAAGAGGAGGAACTTGCCCAAGGTCACCCAGTCAACACGGGGCGGGGCATTCCAGTGTGAACAGGTGGTCAGGTACCACAGTTGTGCCTGACCCATAACCCCGTGGGCACTGCACACTCTGGTTGGGCATAGGGGGTGAGCTACAGACTTGAACAGTGCGGGGGACACATAACCTATAAGTGTGGGAGATAGTAAAGAAGTGCCGTGTGCATGTAAAAGAGAAAAAGCAGACTCATCACACCCTGCTGGAATCGAAGCTTTTCTGGGGCATACACATTATACATAGAATTTTAGATGTCAGTAATCTATGATGCAACAGATTTTCGGGGCCTTGCCTATGGGAGTGCTAACAAAAGGCAGCAATTTAAAATGCAAGGATTTCTTGCTTCGAACCCTTTGGTGGGGGGAATTAGCAATGAGGAAGGCATAGAGAAGGCTGCTCCTTAAATATGATTCCGGTGCCTCAGCCAGAACAGCCTGTCATTCCCTACACTTTCTCAGAGCTGCTCTTCCCTAAACATAGTTTTGGTGTGTTTGGCATTGTAGGAGCTGGTGACCTTCAAGGATGTGGCTGTGGTCTTCACGGAAGAGGAGCTGGGGCTGCTAGACTCTGCCCAGAGGCGGCTGTACCGGGATGTGATGCTGGAGACCTTCAGGAACCTTCTCTCACTAGGTGAGGAGGGCACCCTCTGAAACAGACTCTGACTCCTGGGGTATCTTTATGTGCTAGGTTGAGTGAAGCTTTGGGACTCCTGAAATCATTCTCTGAGTTTTGACTCATTAGAGTCCTAATTGTTTGTGGACAACACAAACAAGATGTTTCCAGACAGATAATCTGTCCGTTCTTAGGCTCTCCTTGGTGGCACAACAGGTTAAAACAGCACTGTGAGGCTGTCTGCAGCTACTGCAGCACGAGTTCAATCCTTGGCCAGGGAGCTGACCCACATGGCGTGGCAGACCTCTCCTGACCTACCTGCTGCTCCCCTCAGCAGTGTATTTTAGTCATTCTTCCTGTTCTGCTCCCCACTCTGTCTCTGGTGAATCCTGTCACCCCCTGTACCTCTGACCTGTACCTCAGTTCTTGTGTGCATAAATAAATCTTAAAAAAAAAAAAATCTGTCCATTCAGCTGTCACTGGCCAAATTGTGGTTCTGCCTCATTGGTTTGCCATGAAATCAGTTCAGTGAGTTGTTTTAGCGCTTCTGTTATTCAGTGTACTAATAACATAAACTTTACTTTTTCAGAAGTATTTTGGTTTTTGGTCTAACTGTTATTTCTAATAACTTAGAAGTTACCAAAAATTTATAAAAGTAAAAATTTAGAAGAAGAACATGCATATCACTTTTTCTTAGAGTCACCTATAGTAATGTTTTACACCATTTACTTTATTACTTTATATTCCTGTTCTTCCTCACTCTTATGTATGTATGTCTCTTTCTTGGTCTCAGGGATAGATCTTGGAGGTGGGTATGTGCACATGTATATGTATCTCTGTGTCTACATATATCCATATATAAATACATACATATAAATTTTTACAGATATGTATAGGTATTTCATTCAGTGTAAGAAAGAAATAAAATTTCAGTTGATTTCACCCATTTCTTACCCCAGAGATTGGCAAAATATAACACTGTAATTTTGGGGCAAAGCACTTTTTAATGTTTTTTTTTATATCATTTTGTGCCTTTTTCCATCTCCGTTGCAATCCCATGGGCTTCCCATCACCAAATCACCCGTGTGCCATCACCTTAGTCCAGTGCACTTCCCTCCCCCCACTGTTTTTGATCCCACTCCCCATTCCACCTGTAAAATATCTCTAGTATATAGTTGTTCATTATTATTATTATTTTCTATCCTGGTCCTTTATACTCTTGCTATGAGTGAAGCCAGTCAGTATTTTTCCGTTTCTTTCTGGCTTATTTCACTAAATATGATCCCTTCCAGCTC